CCACTTTTCCATGAACAGGCTCATATATATGTCTGTTACATTATATGCTTTGTACATGAACATAATAAATAGCATTTTTAAGCCAACTACATGAACATTATCTCCGACCGAACGCCATAACGCCATTTTTTCTTCTAATTTACGTGTTTTTAGCCTCCCACCCGAAATTCCTATATCACCATTACACCTAAAATTATAACGATTTTATTTTAGCCTCCTACCGTGGTCAACCCCCATATCACCAAATACTCAAATCCTATTTTTCCACCAATTTTTTTGGTGAAGGGATTTTCATCTCCACCGGTCCATCATTTTCCTATTTTTTCCACCAAATCCTATTTTTCCTACCAAATATAGAGTTGAAAATAGGATTTTCCGTAATTAACACCATTTTATTAAGTACCATATAAAATGACGATTTTAACTTATTGTACCCGATTACCAACTTATTAGAATATTTATCCTAAATACATTGGTATTAATTATTAAATTAGTTTTTAAAATATATACATTTGATATTATTAAAAAATATTAACTCTAATAATATAAATATGCTTATTTTTTATTAATTTGTATATTTTGTTGGTATCAATGTTTATTAGTTCATTTCTTTACTTAACTAATACACTAATTGCTATTAATAAAATATAATAAGAAACAGTAGAATAATTAACGAAACACACTTTAATTGATGAATTACAAGGCGAGACATTTATAGACATTTAATAGAATGATGACATAATTTTTAAATTATATAATTAAGAAAATTTATTACTTAGCATTGGATCTATAATTAATATTTAGGAAATAAAATATTATAAAATTACGATTAACATTAGATTTATATTTTTGGGGCATATATGGTGAAATACCATGGGATACCAAACCAAATCCCATTTCCTATAAGTGGTGAAATGGTGAAATATTATTATTTTAATATTTGGTCTTAATTTTGGGAAACCCATTGGAGACCAAAAATACCATTTTTCCACCAAAAATTACGGAAGAGTAAAATGGTGTGCTACCGGTGGGAGATGAACCCATTTTTTCGCCACCATAAATGGGATTTGGTGAAAAAATTGTGAGACCGGTCGGAGATGCTCTAACATATACAGATGTTCGGGGGAAAAAAACCACCCTTGGACATAATATAAAAAATGAATCCAAAACCTCCATTACGGGGGTTTTAATATCCAAAACTAATGCCGGAAAATTTCAGGACATATCGATTAACAAAGCTTGAAAATAATAAAGTTAGAAGTTAAAAATGACAATAAAGAACAATTTTCGAATTAGTAGCATCAGCGGGATTTTCCAAAATTATTACAGAGTCAACGAAAATGAGTCAACTTTATAAAAAAAAAAAAAGAAAAAAATCAACATGTCATAATGCGGACAAGAGCAGCTATCCAAAGAGAGCAAACCAAATATGTTGTCTTCTTTTGATGAAGTAACTGATGGGAGAGGCGAGTAAACTTCAGTTCCGAAAACTTAGAATCACTCTAAACCTGCTTCGCTTTTGATGGAAAATTGGAGAACAATTCTTTTATGGGATGTGATAAATGTCGTTCGAGCTTTAATAGTACCATTACGACTTCAAACGTGATTTTGATCATTTTTAATTTCAAATTTTGCAAAACCTGAAAAAGAGAATTTGTAGCATTCTGAGTTAGTTTTCTAATCCAACTTGAATCACCAAAATTGGATGTCAGACGAGAAAGATATACATGAATCAATGGATATTGCCCACAACTTTGATGTATTGAAGTATCTAAAATTGAAAATGTGACTCATTCATGCATAACTTTATCACACGGCATCCAATCTAGCGGATTTAAGTTGTATTAGAAAGCTAACCCAAAGGACTACAGTTTTCGTGTTTCGAATTTTGCCAAAATCAAAATAGAAATATGTCAAAATCGGGTTCGAAATCAAAACGACATTAGTAAAATTAAAACGACATTTAACATTTCAGTTCTTTTATTTACTATCTTTGAAGAATCTACGGGATGCTTAAGAGTGACGAGAGGGAGGGGAGATGTTGCACTGATCTCATCTATCTTTGGACTGAAGCAGGCGGGTGACTGAGAGATACTTTTTCCTCTGTAAATCAATCTTCTTCCTTAGTTCCAATTTTAGTGACGAGCAAATAAACAAGCAAAAAAAAACTATCCCGAATAAAAGAGGAAAATCGTGCAAAAGATGCCATTATTGCTTCTGTTAAAGAAGAAAGAATTTCATATGTTTCTTTCACCACAAAACTGTAACATAGAACACGTGCAGATAGACTATCACATTATTGGACAAAACTAAAAAAAAAAGAAATCTTCTGTTGAAAATTGCGGCGGCAAAAGCAGAGAGAAATACACTCAAAGATGTTACAATTTTTACTTAAGAATAATAATATGGAAAAGAGGACATACAATGATAATACCATATTCCTTTATGTAAGCTACTTCATTTGTTGAACCTGAAGATGCAAATAAATCTTGTAAATTGAACAATCAAAGATCAAAGCTTGGTAAAGGTTGTGGACATAATTAATTATCATCACACGATCACACAAACATTTGTAGATGCTAAATGAATACATTAGCAATATATTATTGTAAAGTTGCACATATTCACTCACATAAATTATCAACATATATAATGTGTGCAACAATTAGATATCACCAGATGGTGAACCGGTAGCTTCACCATATACAACACAGAATAACCAAATCAATGTACTCGCACAATAAGATCAATGCCCCATAAAATTCAATATCCACTGAATTCAACATCACAAGAATTCCATCATTATGTATACAATTTTCGAATAGCTTTATCTTGTGCAGCATTGAGTAAATACACGCACATGAATAGTAACCTCATAGATACAATTTCTATCGCTATATGTACAATTCTGTCAAAAGGACAATCCAATCAATTTTCAAGGGCCAAATCAATACACATGAAACATGTATCTATATCAAAAATCAAAATTCTCAATTCTAGCACTAAGAAAGAAAAAAAAAAAAGGACCAGCATAGCAATTGTTCAAATTTCTCAACTAAAGTGGTGAGCAAGAAACAACTAAAAAGAGAGAAGAAAATAACGAAATTACTGAAGCAACGCAAAAACTAGGGCTTCTGCTAGATTTTGGTTTTTGGGGAAGAACATGTTTGAGGTTTTGATTTTAATTGAGGTCTAATTTTGTTAATTAATTATGATTATTAAAAGGGTCCATTTGATATACACCCCTAGAATGGAAAATATATAGGCATAAGTCCACCCCTAAAAATCTTTCTTTGAGATACACCCCTGGCCCAAAAAAACCCGAAATTACCCCTGCACCCCAAACCCAGCCCATATACGGATTTATACAAAATTGAAAATCAATTCCCTAATAAATCGTCCATCCGCTATCAAAACCTACCAAAAAACCACTCGAAAAATCAAACTTCTCTCTGCAAAAATCGCACCCATTTTCTCGCTACAAAGATTCACCGGAAACGGCAACCCAAACAAGGAAGGGCTAAGCATCTTCGTCAACGGCAACCCAAACAACCACAATTGTAGTCAACTTCTGCTCATCAATTTCATATACCATCAACAGTAGTCACCTTCCACAATTGGCAAAGAAGACACCGGCAAAACGTAAGTTTATGGCTACATTACGATATACTTTGTTTCCCCCCTCCGTTGGTACCTAAAACCTCCTTCAAACATTTTTTTCCAGGCCGTAATCGAAAGGAAAAAATGGGACAGAACGCAAACCTAGCAACAGGTACTACCCTAATTCAACCATTTCACTACCTCAAATACTCAAATTTGTGAAAAAACCGTAGTCATGTATCCAATTTTGGTGTCTGACTGTTGTTGCCATTAGTAGTAATTCGTAGTCATATTTGCATATGTAGTTACATTCATGCATGCCGTGAATTTTGTGTTTTTTTGTGTATGGGTGTTGTTTTCATGGGTAGTACTTCGTAGTCATATTGTCATATGTGGTCACATTCATGCATGTTGTTTTGTTTGTGTTGTTTTTGTGTGTGGGTGTTGTTGTCACTGGTAGTAATGCATAGTGATGTTTTCATATATAGTCACATCCATCCTCCGCTTCAACATTTGTGTTGTTTCTGTGTGTGGGTTGCTGTCATTGGTACTGCTGCATAGTCATATTGTCATTTATAGTGACATCCATCCTTTGCTGCAACATTTGTGCTGTTTTTTGTTGTTGTGGGTGTTGTTGTCATGGGTAGTTCTGGATATTCATATTCATATATGTAGTCACATACATACTTGCTTCAACTTTTGTGTGTTTTTTGTGTGTGTGGGTGTTGTTGTCATGGCTAGTTCTTCATAGTCATAGTTGCATATGTAGTCACATTAATACTTGCTACACATATGTCTGGGTGTTGTTGTCATGGGTAGTACTACATAGTCATATTTGCATACGTAGTCACATTCATTCTTACTATATCCTGCTTACTACCTCATGTGTGTTTTGTGTGTGAGTGTTGTTTTCAAGAGTACTTATTAGTAGTCATGTTCACAGCCTAACATATATATGAACATCTTTATGCAGATACTGAAACAAATGAACAAACAGACACACGTAAGAAGGGGAAATGGACACAATACCGAGCCAACATGCCATCAATCCTGACCTTCTTCGAAGATATAAACCTGCGACCGCCCCACTATGCATGTCTTCGCCGTACTCCATTCACCCATCTCGTTCTACCATTCGCAAAACACAAACTCGGCAGAGATGACGTCACAAGCACACATAATGGAACTTTCAAAATAATGACGTCATACAGCAAAACAGGGCATTCCATATATGAGGTAAAAATATTACAATCACACCACAAGATTGCAAGTTAATGTTTGACATCCAATCTGGCAACACACGAATGACTTTTGACTGGTCAAGAAAGCCGCAACAAGGACTCGCAGCACGAAGATTTGCCGCACACCCATCGCTCCACCAAAAAACTTTGAAACACCAGCTTTCAGTGCGTAGATAACGATAACAATGAAGACATTGAAGATGTGGTCAGATTGATAATTCTACACCTTATGTCAATTGTCCTTTTCAATACTTCAGCTGAAGTGGTAGCTTGGTGGATGTTCAAGTACTGCGATGATATAGATCAAACAAATGACTTCAACTGGGCCAGGGGGATTACTGATTTCTTGGTTAAACAAATCCACACAGCAAAAAAACACGACAAAGTCCATGGTTGCATACCACTTGTGCTGGTAAGTACGAATATTCACTTATAGTCACTTGGTGTCATGTACATTCACTTATAGTCACTTGATGTCATATACATTCACAAATATGACTGATTGTTTATGTTTATCTATCCAGTATTGGATGTGTGAGCATGTAGCAATCGTGCCTCCACTAGCTGATTTTGCTTTCCCAAGATTTTGGCGGTGGGATATATCCAAGCTTGCATCTACGCTGAGCAGCAAGGACATGAACGATATCGATCCCCAACTCGGCAACGAGAATCTGCTGATCCCAACAGAGCAAGAACAACAAATCTTCGATGAAATTTTGGTCATGGACAATATCAGCGATGATGCAACCAATGAACATAACAATGATAACAACAACAGGAATCCTAGTATTCATTCTGACACTGCTTCAGATTCTGACGAGGATGTCCCAATCAAAAACTGGTACAAAAAGCGGCAGTCGTCAGATGAACTCAAGATCACTACCGCGCTGAATGAAACAAAGAGGCTATTGGAGGTAGAAACAAAACAAAGGACAGAACATGAGGCCCAAGTGTTGCAACTGGAAGCTGACGTAGAAGAACTTCAGATGGAGATAGTCATGCTAAAAAACGACAAGCAGGTACATGTTGATGAAAAGGCACATGTCGCTCTTCAACTTTCAAAACTACATGACGAGGTCACGCTTAGCAAATTTGATGTGCCGTCTTTCAATATCTTGAGCCAAACACAGACCAACCAGAGTGAGCTTGAAGAAAAAATCAAAGAGAATGCAGAACTGAAAGCAACGAAGGAATCCATCATCAAACGTCTTGAAGAGGTGACAAATGCTACAACAACTCTGCACACCGAAAAACCTCTGTCGTTGACACAAGAGTTTGAAGCAGACGATATCTCACTGACGAACATGCCTGAGCACACAGCAAAACATATTTTCTTGGAAGCTGAGATCACCCTCCTAAAATCTGCTGAGAAGACTCATCTTGAGAAAATTAGAGAAAGGGAAGAAAAGATAGCTGAGTTGGAAGCTAATTGTGCAGAATATGCAAAGGCACTTGATGAGCACCCACCAGTTCATCATTCGGACAGTAACTTTGAGATATGTGTGGAAGATATCGAGGCCAAGCTAAACGACCCAAAATCTGCAGTGGGGAAATGTACAAGGTCAAAAACACGTGAAGCAACACCACGTAGCACCAAGAAAGCATGTAGAGATTTCAGATACAAAAATACAACCCATTCATCGGCATGGGTGCGAGAGACAAGGCAATAATGAACACAATGGCAGATGAAATAGTGCATGGGAAGTAAGTAAACTCTATCTATAGTCATATATCCAATTATCTATATGAATATTATACTACTGCATAATGTCATATATAGTCATATGACTACATGACTACATGTGACTAGTTCTTTATGACTATTGATGTATGTAGTCAAGAGTTGTCATATGACTACCCATGATTGCATAATCACATGTCTTATTCATGCTTCAAAAATGTTTATAAATGCAGTAGAACAGTGTGGAAGAATCCAGATGGTAATATTCATTTTCGGATGGCTGACATCTTTATCATCCCCAGAAAGGAAGATGTTTCGGGCGAGGTAAAATTATGATACAAACTATCTGCCCACATTCTATACACAAATTTAATAACATTGTACAATGACGGGTTATAGATACTTACTGTGAGATATTGGGACATCAACAAGCTGCAGGGTTGTTTGCAGGTAGCGCCAATGAGTCGTTTAAAGGAACCAGCATGACGTTCAGTAGCATGCTACTGGTACAAAGTCGATAATATATTTGCAATTGTATTTTTTAAAAGAAGTATATGTTTTCCCGTGGTAACTAATCATTAGTTCTAATAGACATCGTTGAGGCCAGCCAAAAATAAAACATTCCGCATACCGGCAGAAGTTAGCAAACATAGATACCTCATCTTCCCATTACAGTTCAATGGTAATCCTCAAACCAGGGCTAACCACTGGACACTGTTAATATTGGACATAAATTCAAATGAGTGGCGTTTCTACAACTCATTACATCCTCGTAAAGGTCTTAAGGACCCATACCTGATTGACGCCACCGACATGATACAAAACTACTGACTATTTATTTCCAACACCTACATATTTAATAAACAAATATCTAGTTCATTCATGTACACAGAAAATGTATGTCGAAAACACATAAAGGAATACGTTCCGCTATTCCCATAAACGCACCGCTGCATGAGATAAATGACTCACCCAAACAAACAGATGATTCAAGCGATTGTGGTATTTTTGTCCTGTTTGTTATAAGGAATACGTTCCGCCAAATTCCACTGGTTACCAACGACGCAGAGACCTGTGTCAATTGCATGAGGAGGTCCATTGTTGAATCACTGCTCCACTACAAGATTAATTGATATTAGACAACTATTATTCCGATTAAGTGAAGCTTTTATTTCTGTAAACTATTTGCACCAAAACAGAATCTTATGTAGTTGTACTTTTATATGACTATTTTGTAGTACTTTTGTGTGACTATTTTTGCAGTACTTAAAACATCTTTTCTTATGGCTATTATATGCATTACTATTCTTCAATGTTATTTTGTAGTACTTTTGTATGACACTACTACATACAGCTATGAATACTTCATAAAGTCATATATAGTCAGATGACAATGTGACTACACATTTAGTCACGTAGTCATATGACTATAGATGACTACTTATCTATGATCTAAATATTTTGGTCAGATTACAATATGACTATTCGTGACTACGTCGTCAGCTATAGTCACAAAGTCATATGACTATCAATGACTACTTATTTATGATCTACATTTTTTGGTCAGATGGAAATATGACTACCCGTGACTACATAGTCACCTATAGTCACAAAGTCATATGACTATTTAATACTCCGTAGTTGTAAATACTCATATGACTAAGTGACTGCAGTTGTTATAAACACAGAAAACTGTACTTACATGTATCAGTAATAGCAAAATTCAAATACTTAAAAAAACAGATCATGTACTTGGAAACTCAAGAAAAGAATTCACAAACTATGTTCCACACAAATTCAAGGGAGTAGAAAAAAAAAAAACTAAAATACCTTTTTGTTCCACTCAAGTCTCATACAGGCCTCTTGCACGTTTTTTTGTTGTGATTGCCCATACGGTTGCATGAGCTACATTTTATCTTCCTCTTAATCTTCTCACCTCTCGAAGAAATTCTCTTCATCTTCGGTCTGCCACGCCGAATATGGTAATCTGGAGGTCCAACCAAAGGAAAATCACCATCAATATCTGGCTTGACATATGGATAAATATTGTGCGAATACGTGGTTTTATAACACTCAAAAGTGTAATGATAGTCAACATATGCATAACCATCATTATTGTTATGGAACAGAACACACACAGTACGTATACACGGCAGACCGTTGACTTGCCACACTCTACACGTGCACGACCTGTTGCGAATGTCAACAACAGCTGTTGGAGTACAAAGCACCTCGTAAATGTACTATGATGCCCTATTCGCTATGAAAACACTACTGTCATGTACTAGTTTATCAACAGCGCCTTGAATGGGAGTGCAAAGTACAGTTGACATAACCGCAGCCTCCTCTGCCCTTGTACACATTTGAACCATCATAATACTCCTAAGACCATCAACCACATTTGTTTTAGGCAGGCCACAAATGCCGCCAATCTTCATATTCCATGATTCTGCAACACTAGATGCCATCTGCTCGTATCTCTTCCCCTCAAAATGTGCACTAGTCCAGTTGTTATACTGAAGGTCTACTAGAAAATTTCTAATCCTTGTACCGCCAATTTCTATAAACTCCTTTATATGCACATCAAATTCGGATTTCGTAGGAGCATAGGCACAAGCATCTAACAAATGAGCCATCTTCTTTCGAAAACCAGATGCACAACCTCTACATTTACTTGACAAATTTAAATGCAAGTAATACAAGCAATATATATGAAGATAATCAAGGAATATATTTTTCACCCCATCCAAAATACCGTGATTGCGATCCGAGAAAAACGTCACCACACGATCCGTGCCAATGGAATCCCTCAAATGAGTAAGAAAGTAAGCCCAATTGCTATCAGATTCTTCACTAACTACGGCAAATGCAACCAGGAACAATTATGTGCACAAAGTAACAACAACAGCCTTAGTAACATATAGCCATATATAGTCATAAATCACAATAAAGGTACAGAAACTTATTGTTATGACCATCTTGCCCAATTGCAGTTAACAAAATGCCCTTGTGTTTATTGTGCAGAAATGTTCCATCCAGGGAGAGTGTCGGTCGACATGACTTAAAACCCGACAAGCATGCACCAAAAGCAAAAAAAACACAGTTAAAACTTCATCGTATCGGCATCGATGTCAAGATTATAAACGCTATCCGGATTGGTACGACCAAGTTCTTCGAAGTACGACGGTAAGTATGAGTATGAACTAGTATCATCACCAAAAACATGTTGCTTCCCTGCCGTGACAGACCTCCAAGCCACATAATAGCTAATGTCGACTCCATAATTCAGCTTCATTTCCACAATAACATCATTAGCAACCCTGTCTGGCTTCGTTCGTACCAAATTAACTATCATACCAGCAATAATGTCAGACGTCATTCGATTCTGCCTTGACGACCCAAAAGAAGATCCACAAGTGTGATGCTTCTCAAATTTCTTTATATATAAATACCCATTGGCCTTCTCAATTGATGCGTGTATCCTCCACATTTAGTTTTTTATTGTCTTGTGTCTGCATTCAGCTGTGACACGTACATGCTCATTCTTAACGTATGTAAACTCAAATCCAGTTTCCACCGAATACATGAATAAAGCTTTCCTAAACTCCACAGCACCTCCATGAAAAACTTGACCAACATCCTTGATCAGATCAGCCCAGTTAGCAATCATGAACTGAGTTTGAGCACATATTCCAGCATTTTGCAAGTAATTGCTTCCACTACCTTGACCAATTTCGAAAGCAACCTCATCATGCAGTTGTGCCTGATTAGATAAACATGCTACACTTGATACCACATCAGGAACTACTCCCTCTCTTTGTTTAACATTCACTTCAACACGATCAAGAGACATTTGGCGCGCTAACGACAGCATGTAAAACACATCGTCATCATCACACAACACACCCTCCCCATGACCAACAACCGTATACGTTAGAGACATGATGTTCCGGTGCAACGAGCCCCATTTGCCCTTACGAATCCAACCAATTCTTCAAATCCAAAGGAAGTAACACATTTTGTCACACCAAATAATTCTCCAAACCTCATTATTAGTACAATATTTGTAGACATTCTGCACCTGTAAACAAAAAGGTGAAACAGAATAAATAAGTATTGTATATGACTATTGTAACATATATTTAACTACCCTAATATACAACCGATCTATAATGCTAAACATGACTACTCTGATGTATATCAATACAAATCAAAAAATATACACAAAAAATTTAAAAAGGCCATTCAGTATATGACATCTGTTACATATATTTAACTACTCTGATATACAACAGGTCTATGATGCTAAACATGACTACTCTGGTATATATCAAATACAAATCTCTGAAAAAATCAAAACAACACAATTCTGTATATGCAACAGGTATATGATGCTAAACATGACTACTCTGGTATATATAACTACAAATCTCTGAAAAAAATCGAAAAACGATATAATATCGAAATGCATCAACACAAACACAATTGACCAATAAAAACCCCAAACTGTACAAAAACACACGAAAACTCAAAATCACTATTGTAAAATCAACAAGCACCCAGCCGCGTATCATGATCATAAACAAAAACGAGCCATGAAATCTTCGTAAAAAAATAAAAAAACGAACCTTAAGGAAGCGATTGAGATGGAGAAAGCTGAACCTCGATCGACGCAAATCACGCTAAAACACCAAAATCCGAAACCCTACCCAATCGAATAATGAATTGATTGAGATGGAAAAAGCGAGAGAGAGAAAGCGCCGTGAGAAAAAGGGCCGAGAGAGAGGGAGAGAAAGAAGATGCTTCCTTCTATACCGTTAGGAAATTGCCTTACCCAATAAAACAGAATATAATGGTAAAATAGTCATATCCTCTGTCCTTAGCGGGGTCTACCTAATTAAGTTCAGAATTTGGGTTTTTGCCTTAGAGAGAAAAAAACATTGGGCCTCCTCACATATATTTTCAAAAGTAGGGGGTTATCCCATATTTCCCCTTGTTAAAATATTTTTAATGGCTATTTTAATATATTAATTTGAATTTATAAGGTTAATTACGTAATTTATATAAATATGACGTGTGTACGATGGGGTACGATGTGTTTTTACTGGGTTCGTACATTGATTTTATAAATCCCTCATGTCGTACTAGGTCGTACTAGATTGTACTGAAAATCAATGGATGGGATGAAATTTTATTTATTTTGTACGCATCAGATTAAATATTTTACAGTCCGAGTAGTACAACCATCTCGGACCATAGACAACTATTTCTTAATGTAGATCGTGTTTTAGATACTCGAATAAAAATCTGACGAAGTAAAACCATCTCAATCAATGCGAACAAATGAGTTGTTCCCCACCCGGGAGCTACTTTACCATATTCCAAATTCAATGATTTTAATAAATTCCCTACCATATTTCGGCTTGGGCCCGATATGGAATTGTTCTCAATAGTTTGTGTAGCCATAAATCTTATTGTATTCTTTGAGATTTGTTGACTTTGTATACCATACCGTTGTAATTGAACGATCTTATGATAGATCAATATTTTCGAACCTTCAATAACAAAAAAATGGCATCAAGTAGTTTTTCATGTTCAGTAATGTAATGAATATGATCTAGGTGTATCTCGTAATATTTAAGTTTATCCATTATCCATCTTATAATTTCCAATGTGTTATTTCTATTTTTTTTTTTTTTTGTGTGTTCTCTAGTCAGAATAGAATTTTGACAAAACAAATACTTTCTAAGAGTTTCCATAAATATGAGAATTATTATTCCTTTTTGAAATAATATAAATATGGGTCTTTTGTGCATAAAATCAACCATCTTTATTATTTTGGGTTTAAGGGCTATATCTCTTTCACCAATAAGTTCATCCCTTTAAAATATAGGG